TGTCTCACACTACTTTTATACCCTTATCTTATGAATCTTTGGTTTTGTAGATTGAAAAGAATGTTGTTTTGGAATATATAATAATAGGTATATATACCATAGACCTGTATATATACCATAGACCTGTAACCATGTTTCAACATAACCACAATGCATTGCAGTTACTGGTATTTAAAGTTTAAATCGGTTGTTGTTCGACTTGAATTGGTTGGTTGGTTTGTGTTTTTTAGTATTTTTTTTTTATTGCTGATGTACGTATGATGATAGTATGTGACTAGGGTCAAACAACAACAAAAAACGTTTCTTCTTAGTATGTGCCTAGGTAAATTATAAACAAGGAAACCCTGAATGAATTCACAGATATTTGGGGAGTTGTAAGAAATCAATAGTTTCTTGATGCCACCGAAAGTCAGCTAAGAATGAAATCAGATGTGACACTAGTCTTCTCCAAACGCAGACTCTAGAAACTAGGGAAATCATAACATTTTAATTTGGTTTCGGACTAAACTTTCCAAGGGAATTGCCAAGAAGACGGCCTTCACTGACTTGTGTTCTGACAGTGAAACCGGTGACATGCCACGTCTCCAAGGCAGTCATACAAGACTTTAGCTAGTTATATTTGTGCCGTTTTCTCCATACAAATTAACCCCTTAAGGGTAGAGTTACACTTGCAGATAATGCATTGTTCACTCTTTCTTGTTTTCTAACAGTTGGTAAGAATTTTTGCCACCATTTTATTTTTTAAATTCACTCATTAAATTTAGTCTGTATTAACCGTTTGGGCGCTATAATTTTTCTCTCCCAAATTTTGGTACAACATTTTGCTTATTATTTTGTATTTTTCTGTAACTTTGGATATTGGCTCCTGATCTGAATAACAATTTTGGAACAAATATGATTCAAATTATGTGGTTTTTATTTTGTGAAAGTTGACTTCACAAATGTTATTGTGCTGCTGCATACAGTCATGGATGTATAGGATAAGGGTATGCACGTGTGATGTGCGATGAAGATCCCGGGCCAATTGATGAAGATTCATGTGAGTTTTCAGGTGGTGTGATAAGTCACAGCTCAAACATACTTTTCTAGAAATACTAATGCAAATGGTTAGCGTTCATCAACTGTTTTGCTAGTTTTTTTACTTTAATAGCAAAGCTTGTATTATGTGTGTTTTTACATTTTTGAATAACTTTTCCAAATTATCCAAATCATTTTTTACTGCCAAGCTTTTGGTGCAATATTTAGCATTTTTTTAAGTACTGGTATTTTTTTTGTTTATTTTATTTTATTCCTTCTCTTCCTTAGAGACAAACCATTTTTTTTGTAGGGGTGTGTTAGTATAGTATCTTGATGTGTGTTTTTGTGCTTCATTAGTCATTTATACATCTCATCTCCAGTAGATTCTTGGCGATTGTTGTCTTATATTTACAATAATTAAAAACTGAAAAATAAGGAAATGAAAGTCACATCTTGTTTCAAAGATTGTAAATCCATTAAATTTTGAACACAAGAAATAATCAGGTTTTGATGATTTCACGGCATTTACGTGACTCCCTGTATCCCAGTGAAATTTTCATCATTTCGTGATTTTGACCTTTCTTGAAAGAAATCTCAATATGCTAAGTTTTGATTTAGGATAGTTTGCTACCATGAAAAACAACATACTCAGAAAACCTTGAAATCCAGCAAGAGGGGTTGGGTGACTGAAATGTTCAAAAATCTAAAATATATAAATATATGGTCACTGAACTAGGTTTCCACAAAACGACAAATTCATGCGGTAAAATTCATAGCCACATTTATCCACTTTGGGACAAAACAGATGACAAACAATTTGACCGTGACTTGGAAGTTTTTTTTTTTATAACAGCTGGACTTTAAGTGCGCCTCCACAATGCAAGTTTGGATTTCGTTGTGTGCCCCCCCCCTGTTTTGCCAAAGTAATAAACTTTATCTTTCATGTACCTATCTGTGTTTGTGTCATAAAGCTGCATTATAAAATACAGTTAGATTATAATTCATTTTTACAAGAAGAATAAATCAGCAAAAATAGTATCTTGTGAAAATACTTTTGTTTGTTGAAACCTTCTTTGGATATGTTCTGTGTTTTTAATTCAGGACGTGATTAGTGTTCAGGATGTGTTTAGTGTTATGCATTCAGGATGTGTTCAACATTCAGGATGTGTATAGTGTTCTGCATTCAAAATGTGTTCAGCATTCAGGATGTGTATAGTGTTCTGCATTCAAAATGTGTTCAGCATTCAGGATGTGCTTAGTGTTCTGCATTCAAAATGTGTTCAGCATTCATGATGTGTATAGTGTTCTGCATTCAAAATGTGTTCAGCATTCAGGATGTGTTTAGTGTTCTGCATTCAGAATGTGTTTAGTCTCCGGCATTCAGGATGTGTTTAATGTCTAGCATTCAGAATGTGTTTAGATTTCAGCATTTGGGATGTGTTTAGTGTTCTGCATTCAGGATGTGTTTAGTGTTCTGCATTCAGGATGTGTTCAACATTCAGGATGTGTATAGTGTTCTGCATTCAAAATGTGTTCAGCATTCAGGATGTGTATAGTGTTCTGCATTCAAAATGTGTTCAGCATTCAGGATGTGCTTAGTGTTCTGCATTCAAAATGTGTTCAGCATTCATGATGTGTATAGTGTTCTGCATTCAAAATGTGTTCAGCATTCAGGATGTGTTTAGTGTTCTGCATTCAGAATGTGTTTAGTCTCCGGCATTCAGGATGTGTTTAATGTCTAGCATTCAGAATGTGTTTAGATTTCAGCATTTGGGATGTGTTTAGTGTTCTGCATTCAGGATGTGTTTAGTGTTCTGCATTCAGGGTGTGTTTAGTGTTTTTCAATCAGGATGTGTTTAGTGCTCAGCATTCAGGATGTGTTTAGTGGGTTTTTTTTATTCAGGATGTGTTTAGTGTTCAGCATTCAGGCTGTTTTAGTGTTCTGCATTCAGGATGTGTTTAGTGTTCAGCATTCAGATGTGTTTAGTGTTCAGCATTCAGGATGTGTTTAGGTTTCAGCATTCAGGATGTGTTTAGTGTTCTGCATTCAGGATGTGTTTAGTGTTCAGCATTCAGGATGTGTTTAGTGTTTTTCATTCAGGCTGTTTTTAGTGTTCTGCTTTCAGGATGTGTTTAGTGTTCAGCATTCAGGATGTGTTTAGTGTTCAGCATTCAGGATGTGTCTAGTGTTCAGCATTCAGGATGTGTTTAGTGTTCAGCATTCAGGATGTGTTTAGTGTTCAGCATTCAGGATGTGTTTAGTGTTTTTCATTCAGGATGTGTTTAGTGTTTTTCATTCAGGACGTGTTTATAGTGTTCTGCATTCAGGATGTGTTTAGTGTCTAGCATTCAGGATGTGTTTAGTGTCTAGCATTCAGGATGTGTTCAGTGTCTAGCATTCAGGATGTGTTTAGTGTTCAGCATTCAGGATGTGTTTAGTGTTTTTCATTCAGGATGTGTTTAGTGTTTTTCATTCAGGACGTGTTTATAGTGTTCTGCATTCAGGATGTGTTTAGTGTCTAGCATTCAGGATGTGTTTAGTGTTCTGCATTCAGGATGTGTTTAGTGTTCAGCATTCAGGATGTGTTTAGTGTTTTTCATTCAGGCTGTTTTTAGTGTTCTGCTTTCAGGATGTGTTTAGTGTTCAGCATTCAGGATGTGTTTAGTGTTCAGCATTCAGGATGTGTTTAGTGTTCAGAATTCAGGATGTGTCTAGTGTTCAGCATTCAGGATGTGTTTAGTGTTCAGCATTCAGGATGTGTTTAGTGTTTTTCATTCAGGATGTGTTTAGTGTTTTTCGTTCAGGACGTGTTTATAGTGTTCTGCATTCAGGATGTGTTTATAGTGTTCTGCATTCAGGATGTGTTTAGTGTCTAAGCATTCAGGGTGTGTTTAGTGTCTAGCATTCAGGATGTGTTTAGTGTCTAGCATTCAGGATGTGTTTAGTTTTCAGCATTCAGGATGTGTTTAGTTTTCAGCATTTAGGATGTCTTTTATTACTACCGGTATAATGATTATGAAATATTTTATCACCAGCTGATTGTTCCCTTTTCCCGATTTGTGACAATTTAAAGTAATATTTATTTAATATGTATTCCTGTAATACTAAATCATTTACTTGTTAAATTATATGAGAATAAATGTTTAACAAAGTGTGTTTGACTTTAATCATGGGTGAACGCTTCAATAACTTCAGTTTGGTTCTCATAGGGTTGCTATTATAACTATACAACCTGTTTGTGTGTTCAGGCCAATCTCTCAAGCATCCTAATGTTCCTTGTTCATATCATATTTCAGCGTTCCTCATTTTCTCTCTTTCTTTTACAGCTGCTGACACAACAACAGCAAGAACTCAACGATTTTGTCGCCAGGTGGGTCTACTAATTTATAAATGAAACGTCTCCACAGAATTGATACCCGCATACATCAGCTCACGATGGGAAGTTGTGTCTCATACAATGTATAAGGACTGCTAGACTCCCCTACGGCAGTGTTTTGTTGACAAGTAATTCTAGATACGCCTATTCACAATTTGTAAAGTAATTCTGAGACTTAATTCAAACTGTTTCATGACCAGATCAAGGAAAAGTGTCAAATGACGTTCTGGTTCCATATGTTAATTCTTCTGTGGGAAAGCTGTTTTGGGTTTGATTCATTTTGTATAGGGACTAACCAATTTTTTTAAGGGGTAGACAATGTGATTTACTATCATTAGGGGTTGACCAATTGTTTTTAAGGGGATTTTTATTTTCATATGATAGAAATATGAATTGAATGAGGGCAAACCAAATTGATTTCAGGGGTAGGAAATGTGATCTACTATTCTACTAACTATAGGAGTTGAACAATTATTTTCAGGGGGGGATTAGTTTGGATATGCTATATATGTACATCAAGTTTAGATCAAGGATTAAATATCTGTGAAAAGAGGCTTGAAAATGCTTCTCTCAAAAGCAAAATTGGTCCATCCCTTGAAAGGTATACCTACTGTCCTTCACTTCTTTAATTAATGAATTGTCCTAATCAGTAGTAGATAAATTGGGCCGTTGAGCTTTGGCAGTCCAGACACTCTTACGTCAAATTTACATACATTTGTACCCAGTATATGCAAATTGACTGTGGTTATGAAGCTGGAAACCCCCAAAATAAACTGAAAAGGTCCCAATTGATTTAGATTTAGTCTCTCTGCCATGCATAGGTTTCAGCTTTCTCATTTCGTCTGAAGTCCCCCATGCGAAAAATTGAATGTTTTCATTACTGGGGAGTGTGTGACACTGGTATAATTTAAGCCACTTGCCCCATCCCGGTTTGATTTTCAATCTCATTAGGAATTGCTGGTGCTATGTAATCAGATATGCAGCACTTCTAATGACCCTTTTGTTTTGAAATCATGATAGAGTTCACGAGCACCTTTCGTAAAAATCTTATTCGTAAATGTAGTAATTTAGAAATTGAAAAAAAAAAAAAAACTATTTATGTATGCATACAGAATAAATGTGATTTACAAATAAATTATGATAGTTTACGCTAGAATTGTCAGCTAAACATTTTTTCCATTTTTAAGTTAATTTTTATGATTCACCTAATTTTTAAATTTGACTTACAAATTTCACCATCTGGGGATAAAAAAAAATTCAAATGTTTTTTTTTTTTATGAAGGATACTTAATGGTATACATATACGTCAACAACAAATCTTTCATCACAATTTCACCTGGAATGACATCTGTATCTCATATTCAGGCATGACAGAGAAGTCAGAAAGTCATTTCTCTTTTACAAATTTCATTTCGGGACAAATTTGCAAGCAAAACAGTTTGGCTTGGGGGCATAATTTTACTGATTAGCTACTCGCAACTAAAAGCTTCATTTAAGAGATAAACTCTTACTTTTTTTCCCTCACACTGAGAAAATAATTTATATGATAATAAAATTTGAATACGCAATCCCAATTTTGCCTGAGGAGGTATCATAGTTCTAGGATTTAGATGTTTGGGGTGATTTGCAAGTGATGTCACAAAAGCCACTCTGACAGTTCATGTCTTTGTCTGAAAAAAAACAGAATATAACAGGTCATGTCTGAAAAGCCCAGAAAGAAAAGTTTTTTGTCAATTTGTTTTCAAAAATAAATGCAAGCGTGTATTTTTTTTTTTATATTTTAATTTTAAACTCATCATTAAAGATTGTGCTTTTATTTAACTTGTATTTATTTTTTAGAAAAAATTTGTTTTTCTTAAAATTTTCCTGAATTTTGACAATAAATGCATACATTTTTAACTGACTAGCAAAATGACCAGAAATTAGTATTTTTTTATGGTCCTATTATTGTGATTTTTTGTAATGTCAAACTATCATGTCTGATTGAATACATCCAAAAAATATATTGAATTTAAAAAAAAAAAAATACAAAATTGATAATCAATCCATCCAATTATTTTATTTTAGTTTTTGGCCTAAAACTAATGTTGCTTTGTGATAAAATTGCTTAAAATACTAGGAAATGTGAAATAATTTTTGACTGTATTCAAACTACGTTGGCAGTATAAGCTAAATAAATAAGCTAAATAAGCTAGTATCAACTAAACAATAATTTTTTTTTCTTAAAAAAATGTTGGCACAATTTTGTTTTCAATATTTTTGGTGAATTTTGCTAGTGTCAATGTTAATTTTTATAACAAAGAGACAACTTAATACATGCTTTATTTTAATTTCGGAAAACGAGTTTAAGCACTTCACTTCTTTGTTATTTGATAAACATCGACAATGGTGACGAAAAGGGTTGAACGATTTGCCGGATAAATAACAGCCACTTTGACAATTATAAGCACTTCACTTGTCCCAGACACCTTGTCTTTCGCTCGCCTGTGTATTAAAGCATTTCTTTTGATACTTCCAATAAATGAACTAAATTGACCTAAAATCAATCTCTTTCAAGTTATTTTGCTAGCGACTTTGAAAGGGAATGTCAGACATTTATATTTAGCGGAATTTGTCTCTCTTCCCGAGGCTAGTTCCCTCAATCAAAACACTAGTTACAAGCCATAGGCCGCTTAGCGTTAACTCGTTGATAGGCATCTAACGCCGTATCAAACTATGACAACCATCCAATAAAATGGTCTAATAATTGTGATTGATCTATGAAATGTTCCTATGGAAATTTGAGGAAAATGCCCTATTTTTTGACAATAAAAGTTTTCCATTCATAACAGCCTTTTATTTCTGTTTTCAGTGTTAAACTTAATGTAAATCAACTGTCATTATTTATTTCACTAGTTTTTCCCAAGTATCATCCAGTGTAACTCTACCCACACATTGTTGTCATAGTAACCATTCCAACATAGATGTAGATCCCAAAATGAATCTTTGTTTACACACTGGTTATTTATAGTCTAAAATTGGCTTGCGTTCTCTTGTACTAGAATATCAACATAGCATGTAATATTTCGTGTTGTCCTCTTTGAATGTCAAAACAACTTTTGTCCTCATTCATGAAATTTTGGCCGTATTTTTTCAAAAAACTTAATCAAGCCCTGGAGCCAATGCTAAATTATGACTATTTCATAAAAAATAAGCAATTATAGAAACATTCATAAAAAATTGCAAAATTTTGCACTGAAATTTTGGTGGGCATTTAAAGTGTTAAACTAGCATGGTAACCATAGTTTCTTGGTAGCTGCCATGGCAACAATTCAACAGTATTCAGCTCTCTCCGGTGTTAACAATTACTGTACAAGTTCATTGTTATTTAAGAATCACCATTTCAGTGAAATAAATTTGTACCTTCAAGCTATTTGCACAATTTCATTAACTTACTGAAATTGATGTATGAACATTATAAAATAAAAAAAAAAAAATATTAATTACTTAAGTGATTACAGGTTGTGGACCTCGCATTTAAATAGCGGAAACAGTTTACGATAAAGGAAATATTAACAATCGTTACATGTTTATAGCGATTATTGCGTTATAGTGGCCACCCGCAGCATATTCTTCTTCATTTCTCTTAATCGTTGTTACCGATGTGTCGTTTTTATGAAACCTATATGATTCACATGTACGGGTTCTGTTTTTTTTATCTTGTCGACCATTAACACCTGCCCTACTGAAAGCCTCTAGGAATAGCCAAAAAATGAATGGGAAAATAGGTGTCGGCAAACAAAGTGTTTGTGACCAACATTTTCCTGTCATTTGATAATTTTAGGGTGTTTGTAAGGATAATTTTACCAAATTATTATTATTTTTGCATTATGTGGAATAATTACTTTCAGAGGTGGCTGAATTGTTAAAAAAAATTACCTTTTGAAGCCCTAAATTTTTCCCGCCAAAATTTTGCTGTAGCGTTTTGCACATTTTTATTTGATTAATTTTAAAACAGATTTTGAAAAAGATTTTGAACCAAATTTTTGTAAATAAATTGAGGGTTTATTTTGTGAAAAAGGAACAAAAGTTGTCTTTGACGTACAAACATAAACAAACAGCCTATCGGCTGAGATAGCTCCGCTGTTAGCAATGCACATTTCAATTAAAGAACTGAAGACATCATTAGAAAATGAACAATATGAATAGTATCAAAGCAATCGGACTTACAGTTTTTAACAAGAAGTCGAAAATATCACTTTTTACCAAAAATTACAAAAATATTCACCAAAATAAATTAATTAGAGAATTGAAGATATCATCACAAAACGAACAAATCTGAGAGAGGTCCACATGTAGTACCTATATATGTAATATCAAAGCAATCGGACTTACAGTTTTCAACAAGAAGTCGAAAATATCACTTTTTACCAAAAATGACAAAAATATTCACCAAAATTAGAGAATTGAAGATATCATCACAAAATGAACAAATCTGAGAGAGGTTCACATGTAGTACCTATATATGTAATATCAAAGCAATCGGACTTGTGGTTTTAACAAGAAGTCAAAAATATCACTTTTTACCAAAATGACAAAAATATTCACCAAAATTAGAGAATTGAAGA